CGCCTGCAGCATCGCAGCACGTCTTACATGCACGCCAAGCATATGGACGTGTACGACAACTTGAAAATAATACTCATTTCATTTCTGTAAATATTGTGAGCTCTCTTCCGGGGCACGCGATCAGCGCACCGCCACGATCCAACGGTCGCGTCCCTTTATTTTTAATACCCTATTAATGTATTTGATAATAATAACGATGATAATGATAATAATCTCGTGTGTTTTGTTTTCATTGACATTTTACCTGTGTTGCGAAATCAAAGTACAATAGTATGCGCTGTTATTATGAGTAGCTGCAATAGCTCACTTTTTACCTGTAATTGGCTATTCGCGTGCAGAACTGAAGCTGTTTAACGTAAGTATACCTTCTAATTATACAGCATTATCCTCATAGCTGTATTCGATTGTTTATCGTTTATCTGTGCGATAATGCGATAATCGCTTTAGTCAAGAATCATTTCCTTAAACGGTGAAAATTCTAGCCAGCATAATCGTTGTGAATGATAAACTGCAATGCAAAACGCTTATCATATAGCTTATCTCGGTAGAAAGTTTTCTGATACAATATTAAATATATAATTATTCTTCTTTGAAATTATACAAGGCATGACATTAATTAGTTTCACTCTTCTTCTATTTTATCAAGCAAAAATATTACGCAATATATATATTAAGCTCTTGAATTTTTTATTAATAAAAATGCTCTCTTTTTCTTATTTTTGTTTAACTAATATGTAAGGGAAACTAATTTAATTATATTCGAATTGCGGAAATCGCTGCATTATTTGCGGTTTCTCCATCACGAATCCAGAAACGAGGAAGAATGCGGCGCACTTGGTCTCAATTTGGCTGAACAAATCGATCATTCACTTTCATATTTAGATGCGAGCGGTATGGAAATCTTCAAGTAAAAGCGGCGGGACAAGAGCGAAAATTGAAATTACGGTCGAGTGACGGAAAGAGCGAAAGTAGTAGCCCCTCTTAGGGAATCATTCACAGTGTTAGTTCTAGCTCATGGAGGTACTCGTGCTTTCTCTCATCCGAGTACATTATACACTCCTGGCGAGATATTACATTTGACAGCGCGTCAAAATTCTAGCCATTAGGTCCTAAAATTTTAGATTTGGAATCTTTCGAAAGATGGTCATTAACATACGTATACTTACGATCGTGCGTGATTGATATATTTCTTAATCGGCGTTTTGAATTATGTCAGTCTCATTGAACGATAGAAATGTCCGACAGGATCTGATAAGTTAGGTCTTTGATTAAGACGTAACAGGTTTGTCTTGTTTGTGAACAGATGACTACTTGTTTTTCTTTTACCTATCCATTCTTCTTAAGATGAAAAAACTTGTCTCTTTTTTTGTGTAACAACTGCGTTTTTAAATTTTTTTTAAGAATATTGAGAAAGATATTTCTAATTATACATACAAATTACAATTTACTAAATAACAAAATAAGATTATAGTTAACTATGGAATTATTTAATGCTACATATTTTATGATTGCAAATTGAGTAACAGTATTTTAATGGATATTTTCAAAGATCGATGCTACAAGAAGCTGTCCTCTTAAGATTTACATATCTTGAATAAGTGGCTATAGATCTTGATTAAGAGAGATTAATGGGTGATCGGAATGTAAGTATTCGTGTACACCGTAATTTTGATACAACGTAGCAAGATTTCAAGGATTTTTTATTTTGTGATCCAATATCCATAGAAGGAGCCACAGGTACTCAATCTCTGTTACAGATATTTAATTCCCATATTTAATCATGACATAGACTTGCTTCATAAGCTATAAATCTTTACACTTTATATATGGACAGAAATAAGAAAAGATAAAAATAGCTAAAAAGTAATAAAAAACAATGAATAAAGTAATAATGGCGAATAGCGGAGGGAATTATAACGTAAATTGGATTATAGAGCACATATTATGGAACTATTAAATAAAATATGAATATATTTAAATATTCATTAATTATTACGACATAAAAATCTCTATTATACAATAAAATAACGTAAAAAATATATATATGGAACGTTCCACGTCAAAGGGGGACAAGTGTCTGGGCAAAATTTGTGAAGTCGAAATAAGACGTTTGAGGGCTTAAAATTTTCGTTTTTATATGTGGTTTAAAGAAAAACGTGGCGTTTTTGAAAATTCAAAGCGGCTGGTTCAATATGGCGATTAGAATAAATAAAAAACTTATAAAAAATATTGAAAATATTTATTTCATTGATCAGATGGTCCAAAATTTATTCAATTTCTATGAAAATCGATATTTGTGGATTTTTCGAATCACTCATAAACAATCCGTAATCATATTTCCAAATTTCGAAATGACGGATAGAGAATGTATTTTCCAATTCATTATAAATTTTTGTTCACAATCTATGAATCTTGACGAAATGCATCTTGGGAGACCCTCACTATCTATCTTCATAGAAAAAAAATCAATTTTGGATCACATGATTAAGAATCTGAGCGTTCCAGTCAATTCTTCTTCCGCATCATATTACATCCGCCATTTTAAATTTTGGAAATCTGACTGCGGGTTATTCATGAGTGACCCGAAAAACTTTCAGATATCGATTTTTAGGATTGAATAAATTTTGGACTACTTGATTAATGATTTAAGAATTCCAGTCAGTTCTTCATTCATTATAGTCGCTATACTAGATCCGTCATTTCGAATTTTGGAAATATGACTACGAATTGTTCACGAATGATCCAAAAAACCCAAAAATATCGATTTTCATGGAAATCGAATGAATTTTGGACCACCTGATTAATGAAATAAACGTTTCCGATAATTTTCATAAGTTTTTTTATTCATTCTAATCGCCATATTGGAGCAGCCGCTTTTAATTTTAAAAAATGCCACGTTTTTCCTTAAACCATATAAAACCGAAAATTTTAAGCCCTCGAACGTATTATTTCGACTTCACAAATTTTGCCCAGACACTTGTCCCATATATATATGGAACGTTCCGCGTCACGGGACAACTGTCTGGGCAAAATTTGTGAAGTCGAAATAATACGTTCGAGGGCTTAAAATTTTCGGTTTTATATTCTTAATATTCTTAATATTATATCATATAATATTAAGTATCTTATTAACCATTATTCAGTTTTATAGTTCAAAAATTAATTTATGGCATTTGCTGTGACTTATCTTTATCCTTTGTTTCAAAAACCCCGTAAACTCATTATAATGTCGGTAGAAAACAATATAAGAGAATTTTAGATTAATGAAAAAATATAAGTGCCTATTATTTTTGGCCAAGGTTGTACGCAGCGTATACTAACAGTACATTGTTATATGCAATATTTTTCGAGAATATGGCCCTTGGACAGTTCATAATGTACATGTCCAGTTAAAAAAACACCTGCGTTCAAAAAAAAAATAAAAAGTACATAGTCGGCGCAATATAATTTAATAAATATAATATAATTTTGGCAATCATGAGAGTTTTTTCGAAATGCATCACAACTAAATACAGAAAGTGCATAGTGTGATTGTGAGGTAAGGCGCCGGAAGAGCTAGCAAGTACCACCTCTGCGCGGAATGCAGTTCGACGCGCCTTTCTTACGCTGCGAAAATTGGTAAGTATTGCCGTGTGTGTGCGTAGCCACGGTTATGCAACTATCGCGTGCGCGCGAAACGAGATTTCTGAGCGGTAGCCGTTCGCTAATTAATGCGCCCGAAAGAGAATGCGCGGTGTGCCTAATCTTGGCAAAACGATTTTACGATTTATCGAAGAAACGGGATCGAGTCGCATAACTGTTATGCGCCGTTATCCGAATTCCTTTGCAGGGAGAAACATTTAGATTTGGATTCTTCGGAGAGTTTTATTAAGAACGAAGAAGAATATGGAAAAACGCAAAAAGCATTAATGAACAGTTTAATGGAAATAAATTAACACACTTAATTTTTAATAAGTGTATTAATTAGTGTATGTTTAATACACTTAATTTTTAAGTTACTAAAAACTTATATTTCATTAACATGTATGTTATACATTAATAGTTGTTTCAATTACGGTTAATTAAAATGTCATTCAGATCCGTAAAGTAGGCTACAAAAAGTGATTTAACAGATCCTGAAGTCGTCTGCTTTACCGACTAAACGCAATAATTTTTATATAACAATTATTTTTTTATGTCGATGTGTCGCACTTGTCGGTAAAACAGCGATCTCGTCCGGGCACCCTGAAAAAAGAAGTGTTTAATTTTAAGATATTAAAATGTTTTATTCTTGACTCCATTTTTTAAACACTTAAAGTGAAGCTCGAACTCCTGGAGAACTGCACTGTAAAAAGAAATGTGTTTTATTATCTTATTCCCATTTTTTAAACACTTAAAGATGTTTTAGTTTTAAACTTTTTAAGTAAACAAAACACTACGTGTTTGGATTTAAAACGCATAGTGTTTTGTTTATTTAACACGTAGTATTATGTATATTTAAAAAGTTTAAAACTAAAACATCTTTAAGTGTTTAAAAAATGGGGACAAGAAAACACATTTCTTTTTACAGTGCAGTTCTCCAGGAATTCGGGCTTCACTTTAGAATCCTCTTAAGTGATTAGATAGCAACGCTGCTGTTCTAAGAATACATATAATCTTTTCTTGAAGGAATATGCTGAGAGAAAAGTGTTTAGTAATATAATCGCATGATAAAATAATTACGATTAAGAGCTCCATTTTTATGGTTATTACTGTTGTAATGTTAGTAATAACCATGTACATACAATATAATATAATATATAGTTCTCTCAAACGTGAACGAACATATTTTACTATAAGTTATAATAATTTTAAATATAGTAAAATAGCAAGACATAAATGGTAAATAAGATAAACATTATTATTCAGCAAATGCAATCGTAATTATTATGAATATAATTATTTTCTTAAAACACTA